AGTGAAAGCTGCCATGTCCAGTGTATATCTTAAGAATTGGAACCAAAAAATTACAACTTCCAGTCCAGCCATTTCGGAAATTTCATTATGATATCTGCATATCAATCTGCAGATAAACATCAAGTTGTAGTTAGCTGTATATCAATTTTTTTGCTGTAACAAAGGCCACCTTTTGACCCAGCACAGACAGGATTGTTATGAGGATCAGATGAAGCATAAAAGCGGCCATGGAGACACAGCAAGTCCTAAATTCCGGAGACGCCGCACACACAAACCGGATGTGTTGTCGGTGAATTCAAACGCTAACATTCAGTTTATCCTCAAAAAAACCCTTGCAGTGGTAATAGCACACAACACATGAACTGTAGCACACGCGGTCACAGTATATTTTTCATGACACTACAATAAAAATGCTTTGTTCTTCTAGCAGCAAAAGGTATAAACTGCAGCTACGGGTCACAATTAATATTTAATATACAGATGACCGTTATTAATCATGCACTGTCTGGACTTCACGTGAAAGTGGGAGCAACTAACGCAACGACAAACTGGACAGCGGTCACCTGAATGAACTGCAAAGATCAACAACTGCAAAGTTTGACGTGATGGAAATAAAAAGTATCCTGAATGTCCGCTCACCGAGAATTCCAGGACGTCTGCTGAAGCTCGGTCACAGGTCTTCCAAACCATGCGACCCTTATCCCATAAGGCCGCTGAAATTTGGGTCTGAAGGTGTAGAAGCAATACAGCGCAGGTTAAATCAACAGCAATGATGTTTTTTTTTTGGCTACTTTGATAAGATGAAGAAGTCCAAACCGGAAGCCAGCAAAGTGATTCAATCAAAATGCAGTCCGTAAATTGCAAGAAAAAAAGAAGCATGAAATCACAAAGGCTTGGAAGCAAAGGACGGGGAAGCACCGACAAAAAAGATACAAAAAATTTTATATAACAAACTCAAATAGCCATCAGACATTGGAAAAAATGTTGTAGAGAGAATGAATACGAAATGAAAAAAAACAACTCTATCTGAGCCGAACAACAGAAATGACTTTTACAAAAGTCCTAAAGAAAAAGA